TTTCTCTTCAATTATTGATTCCTTGATCGCTTTAACATTTGCTTTAAGATCTGGAGCTCCCTGATGGACCTCCTCTTCTTGTTCCTCCATCTCGCTGGCTATTATTGCGACGATGTCAAATATTTCAAACCCTATTTTCATTCCTTGTCCTTGTCCCACGGGCTCACTGCACTGTATCGGTGCAACGACCTTGGGTACCCATACCTTTTTCTTTTTTGACAATGATGTCTCAGGACGGAGTGTCATAGTAGAAACATTGGTATGTCGAAGGAAAGTATGCTCCCCGTGATGTAGACCGACTATAGTGCTAGATAATCATCTCGTCTTTGCCTTGGGATTGTAGGAATATCTCCATAATGGGTGAGGGTTGAGATTTTCGAACCCAGTCTCGACTTAACCATTCGATGGCATGCGGTCCTCGTAGCAGTATAGTCAGTAGTAACTACTACGATATCAATTTTGTTCCCTAAATAGAACCAAACGGGGATACGAGTAAGTGACACTCTAGTTGTCTTATGAGACTGTCTGGCAGACTTGACATCCTTCAAAATTTCCTTCTTTATGCGAGGGGAAATTGCATCTCCCACTCGTTTAAGTAATTTGCTAACCAAACATCCTTCTTTAGTAGCTAGCCTTCTGAAGATTGTACTAACTCGGGTCATAGGAGTGAACTTCTTTCTCTTATCGACGTGTCCACGAAGTGATGGTAATGTTGTGGCGATTCCCCAAATACTCTCATATCTATCAGTATCCGTCAGAGGATGGAATCTACTCCCTTGTAGGAGTGGATAAATTTCTAGTAACACTTCTTCAACTTGATGAGGCTCCTCCTCAACGGGTGTCTTTTCAGGAGCCTGTGCTTTGATGGCCCTCTGAACTCTTCTGTTCCGGTTCCTCTTTTGAGTATGGGTCAGCGACACAGTCCTCGAACTGGATCTGATTTCAAACATAGGTGGTGGGACAGTTAATTCCTCTGTCTGGATCCTCAATAATCATTACTTCTTTCTCCTTAGCAGCAGCAGGGCTAGCAGGTTTGGCGGATGCCGTGACGGTAGAAGTTTTAGACTTCTTGCAGGCAGGGAAGTCTTGAATGCAGTTCAGGCTGAATTCTGCAGATGGTTCCTGTATTTCCGGTGCGGTGATCTTCATCACTACAAACTAAGCTTTTCGGAGGATGACCTCAAGATCTTCAAATTCGGATCCAAATTTGATGTTAGGAGCGAGGTTACGAGCTTCATGGCTCGTTGGCAGGTTGTAGGAAAAGGTTAGCGGTGGGTGGGGCAAAGGTTGTAGGAAAAGGTGAGCGTTGGGTAGGCAATTGCAGTAGGCGTTAAAATAGAATGTTTTGGGGTAAGCTATATGGCCATAAACCTCGTAATTTTTTAGTGAAAGCACTGAAAGTAGAGGTTGATCTGTAGACCGGACAAGTCTTAATTTATGGGTATTTTAAAATCTTGTTTAAGAAAAATCAAGAGGTGTAAATTTTAATTAATATAAGAAAATTTGAAAGTGTGCGCAACACAACATGATTTGGTTCAATTTGCAAGATAGCAAATCAAATTTGGAAGGGAGATGTGAAGTATTTTAGGACCCAGTGTGGGACCCATTTTGTGGCAGATAATGCCCAGTGGAACTAGTCCACCAACACACCTATTGGGGATCCGACCCCACATGAAAATTTAAAGGGTCCTTAATGGCCTTCTGAACCTCTCTATTCAAAGATGGTTGAACAGCTAGTCCTAAAGTCCAAGGAGTTGGTTGTAACTTCCCAAGACAGAAATGGGTAAAGTATGCCAACAGAAGAAGGGTAATTTAGTCCAAGAGGGACATGGACATATTACTGATAATGCAAAGATAATATTTCTTGATTCATATGGAGAGAAAAGCTTCTCCCCAATGAAGTCACCAGAAGCCGTCGGCGCTATTTTTGGTTGGAGAGTTGCCCGTAAGAAGCTGTCGATCACCAGAATCAAAATCCCGCTGCCCGCTTCGGAATGACATTTTAATTTACATATATATTTAGTTTTATAAAAATATGAAATCAAACTGACCCCATATTTTTCATAGTTTAAATGAAAGAGAGTTGTACCTCAAATCCTATATCTATCCCGAAGGATAAACACAAGACTTGAGGATGAGGCTCGATCAAATAAACTAAGGAATACATGACGTCTGTTTGGTCTGCAAAACCTTTGTATTTGCCGACAAGTTCAACTATTTAATATAAGGAATTAAATAGGGTTTATATTAAGCTGGGTTCAGACATGCTTCCTATAAGGACAAGCCCCTATAGTTAATAACATC